GGGGGGGGGAGGGCATCAGTCCCCCGGCAGACTCCCCGAGCTGGGGGGAGCGGGCCGCCCTCTCCTATTCTTCTCCTACGGCGTCGACCCGGGGTGCGGGGTCCCTGCTCTCACCCTACCTCGGACTCCTCATCTCTAACCTTCCCTCTCCTCCCCCTCCCCCTGAGTAAATGCAATGACACATTCTCCCAAATGCCAGCGAGCTGGCCTCGTAGCAAGTGATGGTGTTTTTCCTGCTGCCCTTTGTCTGGGCTGACCGCCCCCCCTGGCCTATTGTCCCGCCGCCAGTCCCATTTCCAAAAGCTGGGGCTGAGTGAGGCGCTGGGGTTGGGGCAGGTGACTAACGGCCTCACAATGCCCCCCGGGGCGGGGGAGGGAGAGGGCACCCCAGGCCCACTGCCCAGCTCGGAGGAGAGTAGAGGGCCCTTGGCCGAGGGTTTTTCTCTCAGGTTCACTAGGTTCTTCGTTCTTCCCAGCGGCCGGGAGAGCGCACAGGGGTGGGGGAATTGTAGTTCATTAATCAGCACGAGGCACCGGACCAGTTTCAACACCAGAGGCTGCATGGGTGACTCAGCGGGAATGCTCCCATTCAAGGCGATGGACAGACCCAGAGTCCCCATTTGTGAAACGCTTCCCCATAAAGACTTTTGGCTTTCTCTCGCCTTCGGGGTTTGGGGTTGTTGGTGTTGTGGAGTGCCCTCCCTCCTTCCTTCCCCAGGCCTGGGTTGGGACTTGCTTTGTGGGATACCTGGGGGACCCTTAAGCCTAGACCCTCTCAGGAGGGTCTCCTTCCTGCCCCCTTCCTCCCCCCCCCCCCGCCCCCCTCCCCCCGACGGAGAGCTGCCAGGGAGAGTGCAGAGGAAACAGCTCTCCCCGTCTGGGGCGTCCAGACATCTCCTTTTGGTGACTTCTTGGGGGACAGTCATTTGGTCCCCAAGGCTTGAGTACTCTAGATCCAGACCACCAATTAAACCATTTGGTAATAAGTTGCTTCTGTCCTTTATTTGTTTTTTCAAAGTGGGAGAGGTGGTGGTGGGCCAACCCTGGAAGGTGATTCCTCCCCGCGCCCCCCCAACAGCATCAGATCCTTCAGCCCACGACTCCTGCCCCGTGTCCATGTCCCTGAAGAAAGAAGGGTGCCCCGCCAGCCCTGCCACAGCCCCTCCAGCCTGCGGGTCAGAGCAGGCAGGCGGCATGGTCAGGACCAGCGCTAGGTTCCCAGGGCAGCTCTTCCCTTTTCTGCACTGTGTGGACTGAGGTGGGGGGGTGGGGGGGGGGGGAAGAAGTTTGTTTTCAAATACCTCACGGGGGAGGGACAGACTTTTTGGTTTGGTTTTTTTTTTTTTTTTTTTTTTTTCCCTCCTTCCTTTCTAAACAAGGAGAAAAAAGAGCTGGGAGAGGGGAGCTGGCTGGGGGTTGGGGGCAGGGGGCTTTCCGTGGCATCAGTAGCAGCTTTAAGGAAACCTGTCTTGGGGGGGGTGTCCTTCTGAAAAGTGCTCAGGGCCTCCCTCTTCCCCCCACCCTCCCCCCCCACCTCAGCCAGAACTCTGCAGTTTCAATGACATTCTTGGCGGGTGAGCCCTGAGATCTTTTGATGCCCACGCCAAGGTCAAGAAGGCAGACGTCCAGTGGGTGACTGGCACTGAGGCCAGCCATGAGGTCCTCAAGCAGCCTCCCTTTCAGAAGGAGGGAGCCACGAACGGTGGGGAAGTGGGGCGTGCAATTCGTCCTCCCCTCGTTTGTAGCCTGCTCCTTGTGGAGAGTGTCTGCACAGACAATGTGGTTTGGATTTGGCTGAGCCCCCTCAGCACCTTATAAAGCACCTTGCTGAGTCAGGGAGAAAGCAGCCCCCACTCGGGAGAGGAGGAGGGGGCCGGGAGAGAAAGGGAAAAGAGGGAGAGGGGAGCTGAAGGAGGGAGGTGGGGGGCTGAGAGAAGGGAAGGGCAGAAAAGTAACTGGGTGGGAGTAGGAAGGAGGGAGGAGGCAGGAGCCCAGGGAGGAAGAGGAACAGACTGCAGTGGAAGGGGAGCACCCCCCCCCATCCCACCGCGCGCCCAGCAAATACTCGCCTCGGGAGGCCAGAAAACGTTGCTTTGCAGTAGCTGAGGGCCTGTGGCCCTGAAATGGGGACCCAGGCCAAGGGGGAGCAGGGACAACTGACTTTACACACAGCCACCCCCCACACCCACCCAGCTTGTTACGGTGACACTGCACGCTGGAGAAGTCGCCTTCTCCCTCTGCCTCTTGTCTAGACTTGCATCCCTGCCCTCTCCCCTCAACCAGGGGGTGGCCAAGCCCCCCCCCCCCCCATCTTCCCCACTGCCAAGGGGAAAATCAGCTCCATCTCCAAGCTGCCAGTGCCCCTCTGCCATGTCTGGGCAAAGGCAGGAGGCTAGGAGCTGCCAGGTGGGTTGGGGTGGGGGCTGGAATAAAGACCTTGCCTTTCTGCTGCCAAATGCTAAATAGGGTGGGCTGTGGGAATTGGGGGAGAGAAGGAAGAAAGGAGAGGCAGAGCGTGATAGCTCCCCCTCCAGGATTTCTGTGGCGTGGGGGTGCAGGGGGCTGCCCTCTGATTTCCAGTTGGGGATGTCAACTTCCCACTCCCCTGTGGCTCTCAGACTGGGATTCTTGTTCTGGGATTGCTGGTGAGGGCAGGGCAGAGGTTCCAGGAGACTCCTGCCCCCTGAGCCCCAGAGCCATCTGTCTTGGTACATGGTGTGCAAGAAGTTTCCGAAACCCTGCTGGGTGCTAGGCGCTAGGAAGACAGAAGAGGGAAGGAAAACCCACCCCTGCCTTTGAGAATTTCATGGTCTGGTGACAAGGGGCACTCATTTAAACTGAGAGATCAGAGGATGGAAAGGGCAGGAGAGCTCTGGGAGGAGGTGGAGCTTCAGGGTGGGAAATATAGCTGGAGCCACAGGAAGATGCACCGAGGGAGCACTGGCCCTGGCCCACGGGGCTCCCTGTTCTGCGGAGAGTCAAGCTGGGAGTCAGGACGAGGGGCTTCCAATTGGCCAGCGGCATGGCCTTGGGAAAAGCCATCGCCTCTCGTGGGATGGGGTATGACCCCTTGTGCCCTCCTCCCCAACAGGATGGTGGGAGATCGGGGAGCTCATGAGGAGGACACTGCTTTGCTGCCTCTCTGGCCTTCCAGGCCTTATCCACAGGGAGTGGCAGGCCAGACCCCAAGGGATGTGGCCGGGAGGGGGGCAGGTCTGGCACCAGGCGATGCTTCAGTTGCCCTCCAAGGGGGTGGGGTGAGTCAGTTTGGGCTCAGGGACAGGCTAGACCTCTCCCTCTCACCTTCCCTCCCTACTCCCATAGCTGGTACCCCCAGGAAAGGCATTCCAGACAGCCCCAAAATCCCATGTCCCACACAGCTGCAGAAAATTGGCACTGAAGGGGTCCTGGGCCCCAAGGATGTCGTGGATTCCTGAACTAGGGAAGCCTCTGATCCAGTCCCCTCCTGATGGGTCGGCAGGAATGAGAGTGTTGGCGAAGCCCACAGAGGTAAGTGAGGACACTCACTAATTCATTCACGTGTTGACCAAACATGTCCTGAGTACACAGACAGGAGCCCCACGGGGCCATGGGGATGAGGGGTGGAGGCTGGCAGGAGAGGCAGGGGCCTGCCAGTGCCTGCTGCAATGCCTGGCATTTCTTGGTGACACTTTTACTCCTTTTAGGACTCTAAGGCTTAACTGATGACAATAGTTTAAACATACTGAGCTCTCACCACGTGTTGGGTCCTGTGCTAAGGTTTTTCGTGGACGAGACCATTTGACTCTTGCTGTAACCCCAGAAAACAGGAGCTGTGATTTACCCATTTTGTATGTGAGGTCCCTGAGGCTTGGAAAGATGAAGTCACTTGTCTCAGGTCACACAAGTGGCGGAACCAGGACTGGAACCCAGCACTGTCTGCCCTTTGAATTACACCATTCAGATGCCAACATGGGGCACGCCGAGAGGGGAAGGGGCTGGGTGCCCAGAGCGGGCTCCAGAGGCACCAGGACTAGCCAGCGCCCCCTGGCT